TGGACAAGGTGCGGTCGACCCCAGCGCCCAAGGCAGAGTGACTCGAAACACTGATCGAGTGTGGGATGGTGGTGTAATGCTTGTGTGACCACCTGGAAGCGGCGGGTCAACATGCTCACCTAACGAACCCATGTCTGCGGATGGAGTTGGTGGAAAGTTGCCCGCCCACGTGAAGATGTAGTGGGCAAATTTCATGCAGCGGTACCCGGTGGTGAGCCTCAAGACCTTCGGGACTTCATGAATGGCGTGGTGGTGTCAGCCAGTACGGTGACACAGTGCACATGAGGATTCGGGAAAGCACCCGAAGGGTGAGCAAAAGCCATACTTCTTTTGTAAAGACCGTGGACATCGTGTTCGGGATTGCAACAGCTTAAAAGCACTCTCCATCGACAATCGTTGGAAGACGACAGGTGTGCACTGAGACGAAGTTCACAGCTATCCTCCCACACCTAGACCCTACCTATCGACCCATCAACTCATGAACTGGGACCAACGAGAAGGCATGATCAGAGATGTTATGCCTCAGAACATCCCGGCGGCGCTGACTGGGATTGAAGCCAGACCTGCTGGGGTGAAATGTAATCACGCTTACCACTACACCACCGGCGCCGCTGTGAAAGTTGAATTGTAGTAATTATATTTTCTTATCCTATTAAATTTGTTTCTACCTAAAATTAGTGGATTTAATATTCTAACTTAAAATCTAAAGTGAGTATACAACACAATACAACCATAGAGGTAACTCTAAGACAAGTAGGTCCCGAAGAAACGTGCTCAACTTTTTGGCTCACCTCTGGTACTATCTTCGGTCCCAAGCTTGTCGAATGACCGCTCGAAACATAGGAAAAACCAATAACCCCTCATTTTATCTGTCAAACTTTCATAGCGAATCAAAACAAACATTGCGTAGTACTAGAATTTCGACTAGAATAGGGTACGTTAATCGTTTGCTTGGGACCAATAGGCTACTAAAGTGGTGAGCCAATTTAAAATCGTTAGTTTCGTATTGATTGTTGATACAACCGGACATGACTCTATTATGTCTAAAGCAATGAGTACTATCAAATGATAATTGTTGGTCAAGTAATATCATCATGCATCATCATGTGCGTCGCGAGAACACATTCGGCATAGATTATGCGATGATGCCGAAAAAACCAGACTATGTGAAAGTGCAAAGTTTCGTTTGAACTGTCCTAGGCTTAAAGCCAGGTAAAGTTTTGAGAATACAGTGTAGCCGAAGCCTAGGATGTGCCTTCGTGAAGGTCGTCGACTTGGCGCTGGCACAAAAAGTGTGCGAAGAACAGGATGGAAAACACGAAGTGGTAGTGGAAGGAGGGAAGAAGATCCCCTTGCGAATAACGTTGGAGGACGGACCCAGTAGAGGTGAAGATGTTTGATCTGTTTGAGGACGTGTCGGACGATGCGATCAGCAAATTCTTATCTGGCTACGGTGACCCCAACAAACAATTCAGAGTCACAAATAAGCATATATATTGAATAAATGCTGTATTACAGTGTGCAATGCTAAATAAAACGAGTTTTCGAATTATGTGCCGGAAAAAGTTCATTGAGATCGATCGATTCCACTGTTTGCTCTGATCTGATTAATTTTCTTATTAAAAGCTGTATAAACGTTGACTATCTTCCCAATTCAACGTCTGAAGTTTGATCTAATAACAAACTGATTAAATGTAATTTGCACATACATTGACGCTTTAATTCGACTGTTTTGATTTGATTTAATAACATACATTATTAGACGTCTAATAAATGTGGTCTAGCTCCAATATTAGATTTCATTGCATTGCTTTACAATACATATTGTTGAATAAAGGTGGATAAAGTCAGCATAATAGCTCTTATACCACAATGCGTTCATGTTTTAATCGCATACTTTGTAAATGCTTTATAAACGACGTATTAGATTCATTATTCCACAACACTGGTTCAGTCTAACAACAAGACGAAACCAGTAGAGTAGTGGCTATCTTTCCGCTTTCGAAGTATAAGGTCGTGAGTTCAATCCCAAGCTCAACCCTTTTTTATTTGTGTTCTACGCAATACAATATAAATCTAGTTCTAGTTTAAAAAATAACCGAGCATCCTTTCCTTGGAATTGGAGAGGTGAAGAGGTAACATTCACTGAGGCAAATAGACTTTAGGATTTCATAAGGCTCGAATTATGAACAACATATGTAAATGACAAAAGCGTGACTTATGAATGATTTTCGGGTAACATGAGGTAGCTTTTATACGCCTTTAATCATTTCATCTTCCCAAGCGTTGAAAGATGAGTGGTCAACGGGCCCCGTAAGCTCAAAGTCCACGGTTCGGTTCCAGTCCGCTTCGAATTATTATTTGTTTGCCAACATTATTGTTTATAAGGCAAATCAATGAAATTCATATTGTGGCTAAAATTTATAAGTGTTTCTTATGGAATTCTTGCGTTCTTTTGCCTGCGTGTAGAGTTGCGATCGGGAGTGCTGATAGGAATTCACTTCAAGCAAGCTTTGATTGATTATTGAGCTGCCCTTATGATGAATTCTAGGAAAGCTCAGATGACAAGGTGATCGGGAGGTACATGGTTCGAATCCCATGCAGCGACATGTATATGTATGTAATTCATTTTCTAATATCTGTGTGGTACGTGCCACGTCAGAAATAATGAAAACAATCACTAAAAAAACACCCATACCTGACCCCCCGTCCCTATTATATTTGGGTTAATTATCTCACAGTTGAATAATCGTTTAATAAATGTATAATAATGTCTAATTAAATGTTACTTCTCAGGAGAAATAAAGCGTATACAGAGCACTTAATTAAACTTAATTAAAACAAGTGGAAGCAGTGATGTCTAATAAACGCTGAATAATCAAAAATATTATCGAATAAGCTCTGTGACAACTCATATAAGTTGAATAAAATCTCCTCGACATACCTTATACAACACCAATAGTTCAATGTGTTGTGGTTGAATAAATTCTCCTGATATGTGTGAACAAAACCTGAACAGAAGCTATGATTAAAAATAATACAAATATTATTAAGCATGCAATTGAATAAAATCGTCAAGAAGTCGTTTCTTAAATAGACGATTGTTTGTTGGGACGTCATCTCAGTGCGAGAGGAGATGTGCGGAAGCGATCAACAATTTACCTTTCCGAGTATCTATACTAGTTTTCGGATTGCAAAAATAATCGTAAAACGCAACATCGACCTGCGGATAATGCGGAGAATTTATTCACATCGGTGCGTCCTGTGTGCAGAACAAAAATTTGCTTGTTCAGAAGTCGTATGCCGATTCGACGGAAAAGCCAGCAGCAATGCCGGCAAAAACTTCTGCGAAGCCGCAAGTCCCGAAATCAGCGTTGTCGATTAACCAAACGTCGGCATTGAGCAGCTCTGTCAAACATGCATAGCGAATGAAAACAAACATAGTGTAGTACTAGAAATTCGAATATAATGGGGTACGCATATAAATGTACTTGGGACCAATAGGCTAGTCAAGTAGTGAGCCAATTTTATATCGTTTGTTTCCACTGGTTGGCAATAGCGCTGAAAGAGTATATACGCTTCTCCCATGTTGAGAAGAGCTTGGACGGACGACGTGTTGCTCTCCGGGTTGACATTGGTTTCATTGATGGAGAACAGCAGAAAAGGTGAAGATTATGGGCGTGTATTTCACCAATTCAATCCGCGCAATGATCAAATGGATGCTCTCGTATCATAATTTGCTCATCAGCTGTGGTTGCACTCGCTGAGGAATATTGTGTTCACACGGCTAAAATTACGGCGACAATGGGCTCTTTTCTGTGGCGCGGACTACCAGCGCGCCTTCCAATGGAACAAATGGCGTGCAAAAGAGCTTATGGTGGATTGAAATTGTAGCTACCAGCTTTGAAGTGAAAAGCGATGCTAGTGAATCGTCACATGCAAGCAAATGGCTCTCTTCTTTACTACCAATCCCTTCTGAACCAAGAAAATCCTTCTCCCTGTAGATCTTCCCTACTTCAAATTGATTTCCCAACAAATTCCCCTTCTGCCTTCACTTGTACGAGAACACCCCTCCAGTGACCACCAACACCACCAAACAACTGTCATCGAGGCAGGAGCAGTTTATACTTGCTGGTTAACGAGAAGACGGAGCATCCAAAACAAATGAGAATCATCTAACGGGCGGATGGAGAGAATTGTTTGCATTGCAATGCTGCGATTGAAACGCTGCAGCACAAGTTTGGTGACTGCCTTCGCGTAGCACGCGCATGGACTTTTGTACAGCAGAAGATGACGATGATACTCGGCGGATGGCAAAGATTGTCTTTCGAAGATTTGCTGCAATCAGCTCTACTAAACATAGGACCAACAAAACGAAATGACATATTGAAAATCTTTATGTCATAAGTTAACGATAGAATCGATATTAGTGCACTTTCATGCTATTTGATATGGGAATTGTAACCATTTGTAAATAATCTTAAAATAATACAGAAATAAACGATAACTTTAACAATAAAAAAATGATTACATAATGCGGTGCGTTTAGTGGTAGCGTGTATCTGGCTTCATCCGTATTATTTTTAGGCTGCACTTATTATTTCTGGTGCATAATAAAAATCCATTGTAAATACATACGAATTATCGATAAACTTGTACACTTCGTAATCTTCATCGTTTATGATAATAATTTGCACCTGAAAAATAGGAATCTTGCATGACCAGCCATATTCCGAAAATATATATAAAAAAAAACATATCAAATATATAAAAACATATCAAGAAAGCTGTTCATTAACTACGTAGACAGTTTTTTTTTTATCCTTAACTCCCCCTCCGTCTGCGTAGATAATTGTCCATACAAAAATTTGAATTTTGTATGGGCCGTGGTTAATTAACAAACCCGCCCCCTCCACAGTTTAGGGGGTCTACGTAGTTTATGGACAGCCCAGAATGAGTTTTAAGTAAAATATATAATGACCAAACAATTTTAATTGCAGAGTCCGCCAAACGAGAATTTTTCGAGAGAAATTTTGCCTGGCATGCCATAACACAGTTCCAAGGAGAGTTATCCAGCAATATTGAAAACGCTACCATCATGTTACTTCGGCCTGTATCAGACAGTAGAAGCAAAGATCGCTTGGGAGTGATTAGGACTACTTACAACATGAAACAGGAACCACAGATTACTACTGTATTTTATTTCGATCTTGCACTGCGGACATTTCTTGCAATTAA